TGTCGACGGGCCCGGCCTATCATAATTACCAAGAGTAATGCCTATTCCATAAATTAAAAAAATATATGATTTTTCAAAACCAACAAATTTAATGAGAAAGCTTGACATATAAAATAATTTAACTTAGGATGGTTTTTAAAAACTTAAATTGTATTTCTTTTTATGATGAAAAGTATATACAACTTTCACTGTAGGCAATATTATTGTTAGTAATTTACTATGTTCCTGAAGATGTTTACTTCATTAATACAAAAAATGTTATAACAAGGATATTATAGCATTTTCTTTAAATTCTATACAAAACTATAAATAAACAGTAAATAACAAACCAAACTTATTATTTACTTTTGTGGTTTAGTAAATCAAATATATTTTTGCATACGATATTGAAATACATATACAAAATCCGTGCATGAAGGTACACAATCAGCCTAAAAGTAAAAAGTTTAGTAAAACAGTCCAAATTTACATGGAAATTGGAATGTAACATATTGTTGTAACATTGTTCTTAATTATCTGGTGAAAATACTTCAAAGTCATGTGCATGCAAACGATAACAAATTAGTTTATTTCTTCTTTAACGCTTTTAAAAGCTTTAACACTTGGTAACCCTTAGGCCACGATCACACATGATGTCAAATGCACAATACTAACGTACAAGTAAAAGGTAACTAAATTTACGTCCTTAATAACATGTACAGATCCAAATATTTCTCCAAAGTGAAAACACACTGACTAATTCACTCTACCAGCTAGAAATTACTATTGTCTTCTCGGTGCTTCTCTGAGCCTCGTATTTATAATTTACCATCAAGTGTACAGGAAAATTTGGCGTCAAAATCTAGAATATTCTAGGTCTACTCCCACAAACTTCCTTGATCTTAACGGCATGCGTCATCTAGCTCATAAACAAATTACAACATTAAAAATATAGCTTATAACAATATTATTACCGTGACTAATGTCTTTATTTGGTGAGAACATAAACAAACTGTAATTATATACAGGATTTGTAATATTTCAAGGTTGTCCCTTAAATTAATTATTGTTTGCAGTATTGAGGTGGAAAAGTTTTTTTGTTTGTAATTAAGCACAAACCTACACAATGGGCAATCTGTACTCTGCCCATCACGGGTATTTGAAACCCGGATTCTAGCGTTGTAAGTCCGCAGACATACCGCTGTGCCACTGGGGGGCAAGAAACAAAAACTACTAAAGTCGCTATACGATTTTTTACTGTATATCATTGAAAAGTACACTCTCAATCAAAATTTATTATCTTAAACGTCTGTTGCATAGATAAGATTTCTCCAAGAGGAGGAAAGAAGCACGTGGAGCCGTGGTTTATGTAACATTTTTCTCGGTACACTAACGTGGCGTTTTATGGATTCTCAATTGTGGACTGAACGGTACACCATTAGAAGAGCACACGTTAGTTGTACGAGCATTTACTATTTTTAAAAAGCGTTCAGTATAATTTTAAAATAAAGTGATGGCTATTTATTTTTCATGATTTCTGCAACAATACTAAATCCACCTTTTAAAACAGGTACCTTATTTTTTTAAATTTATACATATTAAATATTTTTAGTAACGACGCCCTATTTAGTGAAAAAAGTACAAGTTACGATAAAACTGTCTTTTGTTCATTGTTTTAAACAATAGGGGTGGCATTCAACTGTTCAGCTGATAATACAGCCATTTACCTGCAAATTTTAACAATGACGTGTCATTACAAGTAACGTTGATAAGGAAAATGACAATTCTGAAATTAACTATCATAACAACCTATGTTAAACGAATGATATAGTATAAAATATTTGAGCAAAATACTTTTCCAATAAAGATAAACATTTTGTATATATCTATACTGCACAACAACAAACAAAATAATTTGATATTTTTGATACAACATCGTATATTCGGTATTCTATCTCTGTCAGCCAAATCATTCGATACTGTTCTTTAAGATACTTAAAGATGACTTGGTTTCATCTAACTCCTTGTCGTAGACCGAAACGCAACAAGCGAGTGGAGTTATTATCAGCAGCAAGCACGCATAACTTTAGAACTTTCAAGCCAAAATTTCTTTTCACCATCGCAATAAGAATACAAACAAAATTAGATTTTAGGAGTGTCGCTTACAGTTGCTTACCGACGGAAAAAAAAGGAAGAAAATAAATGTAAGCAGCAGTGGTAAACTAAACTAGCTTCTGCCTAATATGTGCTTTAATCACAACAATCATTTACTTGTATGGACAATACAACACCGCAATTTGTCCTTGAGCTCTCAATATCGCATATACAGATACGAAGAATAAAGTAAGCTGTGAACCATCAATCTCAACCCTTATCTATAATACATTTAACAACATTTCAATATAGTATGATTGATCAAAGACCCTTCACGTTTGCTTATCAGAGATGTGGTATTATATCTCACGTTATTTAAACTAAACATCTGTAGTATGCGTTTATTAACTTTACCAGATATCCCTATCAATCTAGGGTCATCCCAATTTTTTGCCTTATTTTTTGTTCCGAACAGAAACAGTAAAAGTATCAAATTGTTCCAGTTTTTCTGTACTTCAATGTGAGTTTGATATATACAGTTTGTCATGATACATAGCTCTTTTAAATTTTGGTTATAGACCCACCTGACAATGACAAATCACACAATACAGTGTTTCCACCCTCTCTGTTACATTTCCTTAATCTAACCTGTCATTGGGCAACTGCAGGAATTTAACTTGAAAAGAAAACAATGAACCAACATTTTGTCCTTTGAATAGGTTCAAAACAACTTAGGCGTGTTTTTTATTTTATTTATCAATTTGTTTTAACTCTATAAGCTTTAAACATATTTTGTTTGTTTGTAGTTTGAAAACGCGATTCCGTAAACATCAAATTACTTGCAAACATAAGAAGTGTGTTTTTGTAATTTAAACGGTTTCAGGGCTGTTACACTTAGAAATAAAAATAAAATGTTTCAGGTTTTCACTCTGGAAATCTGGTAACCCTAGTATTTACACATGTATAAACAGAAATTTTTAACTAAAACCAAAATGATATATACTACCATTACTATGTCAGATTTGGATAACATACATAATAAACTCAAGTTAGAGTTAGAATACAATAATAATAATGATCAAAACTTCTGCAACGGGTGGTGGTGAGAACCTTTTCATTAACTTTTATTGCAATAAACAGTACGAAAATTTCGCGAAAAGAGTTAGTCTACTCTCACTCCAACGCTGTAATAAAAACAAAACCAATTATGGACAAAAATTAGAAGAACAGACACCTCCTGCTGTAATCATTCAACCATATTACATTTAGTGTTGTCAACCTAAAAAGAAATGTATATACGCACAATCCAACATAGTAAATCTACAAAGAAGGACAATAAAGTTACACTTGCTTTCTTAACGCAGCGATCAGTCTAAATCACCATGTTTCCCAATAGTACTGCCATCTATGTGTCGTGATAAACATCGCTACATCAGATAAATACGAAAATAACTTGGACAAAACTCCAGCAAAGTGATATACATTTCGCCTGGTTTATAATGTTTATGTTCTTTTATCATGTTATGTGAGAGAAAAACTCCCCTTGCTTCACTTTAGGTATACAACAATCAGGTACAATCTCGCAAGGCAACACAACACAAGGTCACATAATTTCATGCACGAAGCTGTTAGTTTGATCGCGAAGTCTGCATAGACAAATGATTGCTAACATTCGTCATACAACATAACCTGAGCGCTTGAAAAGCAAAGAAAGTTAGTGTGTTATGGCTCAAAATACAAAAAGATGGGGCCCACGATTTCATTTATAGCATATATTGAACCAGCTCGAATGCATAAGTAAATAAATTCAAAGTAAGAATTCTTTGTAGTGGGCAGCATACCAAAAATATTATCTATTAAAGTATAACAGAAGTATTAGTACTTTCAACTTCAATGGAACCTTGTGACACATGGGCTAAATGAACAGAAATAGGTATAACTGTCCCTAATTTTTGAACTAATGACCTGAGAGAAGGCAGCCAGATAGCAGCAACAACCACCAATAGGAGCTGTACAATAGTGTTGCGTCAGCGAGGTCACGTGACTAGTATCACGCCACTTCTTTCTCGAACCTTCGTGAATTGTCGGGAGATTACTAGATATGTGTTAGTCTTGTATATATATAAGACGATCACAACGTGACGGAACAACAGTGCAATGAGTAATTGAATGTATGCGGTCAAAATATTGTTGGCCACGTGAGACATAGCGTTGTTATAGAGCGACTGTTGAAATTAAGTGTATCGAAAAGTTATATTCAGAAAGAATAAACCAGTTTTATTAAGTAAGGACTTGTGTCGCTAAAGTTTCGTCGGAACGAATTTACGGAAAATTAACTAACGAACGGGGACGTAACAATAGTTTATCCGTGTTCTGTCTACCATGAGTATTTATACCCAATTTTTAGCATTATAATCCCTCAGATCTACCACTGGCCCACTGGAAGGGGAGGGGGGTTAAACTGAACTGAATAACAAGACTTATCGTGACTTTTATAAGGTGCTCACAGCTGAAAGTATGAAGCACGTTGCACACCATCACAGTGCAAGCCTTCGACCTTCTGATTTGCAGCAAGGCATGCTAACAGATGAAACAATTATTTTTAATGTCGTTTATTCGTGTTTTGGTAACAATGTCGAAAGATCTGATGGATAGGCAGGTAAATTTATTTTCTTTGGTTTACCTATTTATCTTTTATCAGTCATTAATTTTCCCCGATATAACAAGTGACTACCACAGAATATTGCAACCATATAATATAATTGTATATAATACATATGAAATGAGTTCAGTGAGATAGCTTAAAGTGGAGTTTGTTTTGATTGAAGTATGAGTTGAATTTGTGGTATTCTTAGATAAACTGATTTCATCAAAAGAACTATACAGGTCTGCTTAATAATGGGAGGAATTGAACAGAACATTTATCAAGTAATCTGTATTTGAAAACCAACTGAGTTTTAAGTTGTGTGAGAAATATGAAAACTGGACACAAGTGATGTGAAGAGAAACAAATCTTTAATTATTACAATCACCTCTACTGGATTGGCGAAAGGATAAGCAATCTTTCTTCTTTAGAGATAAATTTCTTTCAAACTAGTAATGCCGACAACTAAATAGAACTTTGAAAGCACCAAGGTTCCAGTTTTTCAGGAAACTGTGGTTCCTTTGTTTTTGATATCGTCAAAACGTGACTGGTAGTTCTCTCGTAGCAATTATTGGCTGGAACACACAAACATCATTCACTTGGTCAGTGAAAGACACTGCAGTCGTTGACCCTTTCTTACACTAAGTTGCGAGATAATAGTAATATCTCCATGAGCAGAGTGGATACTATCTGCTATTGAGGACAACAACAAGAAAAAAAACACAACACAAGAGCAATTAAAAAGAAACGTTTTCAACGGTTTTCTTACCTGGACTACTTGTTTGTGCCAAAGCTGCATAGAAACAGGTTACAATGAAAATTTAAATCATATATTAATAAAGACGGTGGAAAAGCAAATTATATGCCTATATACTACAACGTTATGCGTTCATTTTTAATTTAGTAAGGCATTTAGAATATATTCGACCAGTGTCTTCTGTCAGATTTTGTTGTGACAAACACATAAGCATTCCTATTTAAAAATCAAACTTAGAGTCGGCTTATAAACAATCAGTATTATTGTGTATGTAAAGGTGCTTATTGTTTGGTTCACGTTTATTTTCTCCGACTTTTGACGTTTTCAAGTAAAGTAGTTCTTTTGTTTTCTTGAAGTATTATAA